ACTGACTCACTGGGTAGCGTCTGATTCTGCGTATTCTTTGCTTGTTCAGACACCACATCCGTTTTATCGCCACTGTGATCTTTTACAGGAGAAACAAGAGATAGGACAGTTTCTGGTTGACGTTTATTCCCACGACCATGACCTTGTGAACTGTCGCCCAATTCTCCTTCCACCACTTTTGCCATCTTGTCCTCTTCCTTCTCAGTAACAACATTGCCATTATCACCTTTAGTAATACCCTTAGATTCGTCAGGATGTTTCTCATGTTTATTAGTCACAGGAGGCACAACACGTTGACCAACAACAACTCCTGGCAGAATATTACCACCATTAAGGTGAGGTGAAAGAGGCATACCATAAGCATCATGAGAACCGACAGCACCAGCAGGACCAGGTTTATGCTGAGGAAGTAACTGAGGGGGAATTGTCTTTGGGAAACCTTTAGCACCAGGAACAGGACCAACCATACCAGGAACACCACCAGGACAAGACACACCAGGATTAGCACAAGGATCTCGATGAGCAGCAAAGGTCGAGTGAGGCCCATGTTGTGCGGCAAGAGGACCAACAGGAGACTGAAGAGGAGATCTACCAGCACCATGAGAACCACCAGGAAGAGGAGGATGAGGAGGATTAACAGCTCCAGGAATACCAGGATTACGATGAATACCACCAGGCACAACAGGCTGAAGAATCCCACCAGGACCACCAAGAAATGGAGGCTGCATATTATCATAACTAGCCATCACGCATCCACAAACACAGTACAGTATGAGAGCCAGTAAGCACAGCACGTGGCCCATCATCTTCTTCATAGACATAATAGTGGTAGTGGGTTCTGCTTAAAAACACTCAACTACAAAGAAACAAAAATATGAGAGATTAACAAAAGCTTATAATACAAAAAAACACAAGCGTGTACAAGTAGTGAAGCACAAAGAACCTCAACCGTGTAAAACAACAAAACAGAAACAAAGCAAAACAGAAAATTAAACTCAGTAAAAGTAGAAACAAAAGGAGATCCATATCATCATAGACTCCCGCAGGGCAAAGCACAGAATATCCCAACAAACCAAAAGCAAACAAAAAAGATATTAAACATTAGCCCAACTTACACAGTAAACACAGAAATGTACAACAACTATGGGTGTAAGTCTATATATGTGTATACGCAATTATAAATATAAATTCATCTGTTATTATTATTTCTTTTCTTCCCACTGCAAAAAGCAGTTCATCATCATTACAGTGCAAGCCCAGAGGCACACAGAGAGAGTCTCCAAGAACGTACACACACACAATGGAGTAGTAGCAATAATAATAATTATAGGATAAACACATAGAGAGCAAAAACGCAGACAAAACACATTAACATTAAGAAACAAAAAAAAGATAATCCCAACAGGTGAAAGATTAGTTAGACTGTAGGGATGCATACAAAAAAGAAAAGAAAACAAAGGATGACCTCAGTCACACCACACCACCACCACCATCACAATCAGCACACAAGAATACAGGCCAGTGTAACCACAATCAGTAGTGGTACACGCACCCACACAGAACTGCTGATACTGCTGCTGCTGTCTGCATCACCCTTCTTGTTGTTTATGGGTTCAGGAGGAAGTGTTGTTGTTGTGGTCGTAGTGGTGGTGGTGGTGGTGGTGGTGGTGGTTGAGGTAGTAGTGGTGGTGTCTGCATTACCCACATCAGCTTCTTGGGTACTTGGTGATTCACTCTCTGCAGGTTTACTGCCATTCTCAACCGTTGTAGCATCACTCCCAGCACCAGTTTCACCGTCACTCCCTGTGGCTGAAGTATTGGGAGACGGTGTCGTTTGTGCATCACTTCCAGCTGCTGCACTGCCGCCGTTGTTTCCTGGTTGACCTGCACCTCCAGCCTCAACATTATTACTCACCTCACCAGATAGAGTAGATGGAGTTGCAGGACCAACATCAACAGCAGGGATACCAGATACAGGTTTGGGACCTTGAGGACTTTGTCCAGCATCAGATATACTCTGTTCTTCATTTCCAGCGTGTGCACCACCATCACCACCACCACCAGGGGCACCAGGGTTACGTTGAAGACTTCCTTCTCTTGACTCAGTCTGAACAAAGGGATGAGATGTTTGCGGTGTCAACATGCTGTTGTCCAGCGTCCGGTCTCCTTGTGACTCTGTATCTCCTTTTGCACCCGTATCTACTCTATTTTCATCAACAGTCTGAAGAATCTTTGTCTCACTCTCCGTATCAGGGACTTGGTCGGAAAGATCGGCGGCAGGCACTTCTTCAGCGAGGACGTGCACACACGCACATGAGAGCAGGAGAGCGAGGATACACAGCACGTAGCGCATCATTACCATTGCAAAACTTCTTGTAGTAGTCTTACTTCAATCACTTACAGACAAAAAACAAAACAGATAGAAAAACCAGAAACAAAGTGAATCAATGGAAACAAGAAAATAAGAACACAAACAATTACAGCAGAAACACGCACATAACAGAAAGGTGCAATCATAACTCATATAATGCCCAAATAAAAGGAACAACGCATAAAATACCCAATAACAAAAAGATAATCCCAATTACCACACACCCCCACACCTACCCCCACAAAAATTAAGAGAACGACCATTAAAAGAAGACAGCGCAGAAGTACATCAAAATGTCTCTTCTGGTCAAACCAAGCACAATTACAAATATTTATATATGTATTCTTTATCATTTTCTCCCCGCACAAAACAATCCGATACAAAACAATGCAGGAGAAAGTACACAGCGCCCAAGCAAAGAAAACAAAAAAAAAAAAAAACAAATTAAGAAGAGCACAACGAATCACACAAAAATAACTCACAGACCACTGAGTATGCTGGTGTGTTCAAGCACATAAGAATAAAAATTGTATTAACTACTATCATTTTCTTTTTTCTGCATAAAACAGAATACCAAAAACCGTGCAGGGCAAAAGCACAGAATAACCCACGCACACTAAAGCAAATAAAAAAATATTATTAATTAGCCCAATTTATCCAGTAAACACATAGAAATACACCAACTATGGGTGTAAGTCTATATGTGTTTATGTATACGCAATTATAACTATAAATTCATCTGTTATTATTATTTCTTTCATTTCACAACAAAAATCAGTTCATCATCATTATCACAGTGCAAGCCCAAGCACACACAGAGTGAGTGTCCAATAAAACATACAATACCCCATGGCTCTAGTTTATGTATTAAATTACTGCACACACATATCTGTGTGTACTAGCAAGAGATGTATACCGTCAGTGAACAGAACAGCCCAGTTGTCTGCAAACACACAACGGGAAAAAGCAAGTAATGAAATTATTAGAAAAACAACACACACACACATAAAAGTAAAAGAAAAGGAATTCGAATTAAAAGAGAAAGCTGGTAAACAGATTATTAATTTCATTCACCCATGGGGGATGTACGCAATAATGATTATGTTAGTATTACCATTAATATTATTTTTCCTCAAGTGAGTCACACCGTTCAGCACACGGTAGCGGAGAACCACACAGCCATAATCAGTAGCGGTGCTGCAGTGTGCATCCACACAGGATTGACACTGCTGTCAACATTAGTCTTGTTATTCAGTACAGTGGAAGTGATGTTACTGCTGATCTCTGCGTTGGGTACAGGAACAGGAGATGGAGTGGTGGTTGGTGCTTCTGTGGTAGTGTTCTCGGGGCTAGCCGGAGTAGTGGAGGTGGTTTCAGTTGGTAGTGAAGAGTTGAGTGATGTATCATCATTAGCTTTACTGCTAGTTGTACTTTCTGCAGACTGATCTTGTGGTGGACTCGGGTTTGATGCTTGCTCTCCAGATGGGGATGTAGTTAGAGTAGGATTTGCATTTGTGTGTCCTTCCGTGGCACCAGCCTCTGCTTCGTGTGAGCCTTCAGTTGTAACCTCAGGATGCTGTACACTATCATCCTCTGTGACAGACGTTGCTTTAGCACCACCACCTAATAGTGATGATGATTGTTCTTTTGGTTGGGAAACTTGCAAAGATTGTCCATCTTCAGTTTGCCTAACTACTTTCTGTTGTTCTTGAACTTGAACTTGCGATGGAGAAACAGTTACATCCCCAGTAACGGAGTGAGACTCTACTTCATTGGAAACGAGAGAACCTTTTCTTTCCTCAGTAACCAGCGGCAAGTTAAGGGCGGAGTTATCAGTACCGGAATGGGTGTTCACTCTCGCAGGTTCTTGCTTCGGTGACGTAGGAACCGAAAGATTTACATTCCCCCAACTACCCATACCCCAAATAGCCATCACCGCCTTTGGTTGTCCAGCATTAACAGTACTAGTAGTAGTGGTTGTTTTTGTTCTTGCTGCTCTTGTGGTACGCTGGCTGCAGAGGTCTGCGTACTTCCCACATGCAGACACACGGCTGCCCGCACCGCATGTAAGCCACTCGCTCTCAGCAGCGGGGCGTACACGCAGCGCACCGCCGGCCCCGCACGACACCTCCACAGCCCCACGGGATACACCACGGCCACTGGGACTGTCATTATCAACAGCAGCAGCAGCCGTCATGGTATACCCGCAGGCACAGCACAGCACAACGGCCAACACACACATCACACGGCGCATCATCATCGTGAGAGAGACAAGGGTTTGTTTCACGTAAAAACACTGATCTAGAAAGAAAAACAATCAAAGAAGCAAAAAAAAAAGAAAATAAAATGAAGTATCAAACACGTTAGGACACACAACTCAATTACCACTATGGAAACTCATATCACAAAGGAACTACACACCAGTTAAAGAATGCAATACAGCGCAATAACCTCATTAAGAGGAAAAACAAAAAAAAGGCCCACACTCACAAATATCTCAAAAAAGACTGAACCACCCAGCACAATCATCAAGCAAAGAAAAAGATATTAACCATTAGCCCAATTTACCCAATAAACACAGAAATATACAACAACTATGGGTGTAAGTCTATATATGTGTGTATATATACGCAATTATAAATATAAATTCATCTGTTATTATTATTTCATTTCGTTCTCACTGCAAAAAGCAGTTCATCATCATCATCACAGTGCAAGCCCACACGCACGCACAACGAGAGAGTCTCCAAGAACACACACACACACAATGGAGTAGCAATAATAATTACAGGATAAACATAGAGAGAGCAAAAACACACACAAAACACATTAACATTAAGAAACAAAGCAGAAGAAAATCCTAACAGGTAAAAAATTAGTTAGACTGTAGAGATGTACGCAAAAAAAAAGAAAACAAAGGATGACTTTAGTCACACCACCACAATCAGCACACAAGAATGCAGGCCAGTGTAACCACAATCAGTAGTGGCACACGCACCCACACAGAACTGCTGATACTGCTGCTGCTGTCTGCATCACCCTTCTTGTTGTTTGTGAGTTCAGGAGGAAGTGTTGTTGTTGTTGTGGTGGTGTTAGTGTCTGTATTTCCCACATCACCTTCTTGGTTACTTGGTGACCCACCCTCAGCAGGTTTAGTGCCATTCACAGCGTTTGCAGTGTCAGCATCAGTTTCACTGGCATTCTCTGCGTCCGAATTGGTGGATTGGGTTACAGAAGAAGAAGAAGGTTGTGTGATTGGAACATCTTGAGGTTGTGTATTGCTGCTCTGAGCATCGTTTGCACCAGCATTATCATTCTCTGCGTTAGCGTTCCTTGCATCTTCGGCTGATGTTTCTTTAACCGCGCCACTGGATTCGTCTCTTCTATCATTGGTAACTTTTTCTTGTTCAATGGGAGGTTGTTTTTGGTTCTCTTCGTCACCTTGCTGCCTTCCATCTTGTTCATTTTCTTTCCTTTCTCCAGTTTCTTCTCTGATCTGTTCTGCCGTGGAAACATCAGGGCTACCATGAACACCTCCCTGTTGTTCTGGATTGGTTGGCAGATGTGTACGGCTGTTAGTTTGTTCTTCCTGTACACTTTGAACTACTGTAGGTGTCACCGCCGCGGCTGGTGTTTGGCAGAGTTTCTTCTTTGCTTCTTCACCAAGTGTTGCATCACAGTGTTTACCTTCCTCAGTATCTTTCAACAATTCTTTCTCTATATGAGGACTCTCACCAGGACCACTAGCACCAGGCGTCTGAAGATCAGCCTGAAGAAGAATCTTTGTCTCACTCTCCGTATCAGGGACTTGGTCGGAAAGATCGGCGGCAGGCACTTCTTCAGCGAGGACGTGCACACACGCACATGAGAGCAGGAGAGCGAGGATACACAGCACGTAGCGCATCATTACCACTACAATACTTCTTGTAGTAGTCTTACTTCAATCGCTTACAGAAAATGAAAAACAGAAACAAAGTGAATCGATGAGAACAAGAAAATAAAAAAACACACCAAATCAAACAACACTCAACAATTAAAGCAGAAGCACACACACACAAAAAAGATGCGATCATAACTCAGATAATGCCCAAATAAAAGGAACAACGCATACAATTCCCAAAAACAAACAGATAATCCCAATTACCACACACCCCACACCCCGCAAAAAAATAATTAAAGAATACAACCATCAGAAGCAGGCACAACAATAAAATCAAACTGCCTCTTCCTGTAGGACCAAGCACAATTACAAATATACTTATGAATTCTTTATCATTTTTTCTCTCCACACAAAACACTCCAACACACAACAATGCAGGAGAAAGCACACAGTGCCCAAGCAAAGAAAGCGAAAAAAAAAAAACACAAATTAAGAAGAGGACCAACCGCACAAAAATAACTCACAGAACACTGAGTATGCTGATTTGTTCAAGTACATAAGAATACAAATTGTATTAACTACTATTTGTTCCTTTGCTCTTATAAAACTGATTACCAAAAACCGTGCAGGGCAAAAGCACACAATGACCCAGCGAACCACAAGCAAACAAAGAAACATATATTAACCATTAGCTCAATTTATCCAGTAAACACAGAAATATACACCAACTATGGGTATAAATCTATATGTGTGTATATAAGCAATTATAAATATAAATTCATCTGTTAATATTATCATTTCTTTTCTTTTCACTGCAAAAAAACAGTTCATCATTATCATCACAGTACAAGCCCAGGCACACACAGAGAGTGTCCAATAAAACACACAATACCCCATGGCTCTAGTTCATATATTAAATTACTCCACACACATCTGTGTGTACTAGCAAGAGATGTATACCGTCAGTGAGCACAACAGCCCAGTTTTCTGCACACACACAACGGGAAAAGCAAGTAATGGAATTATTAGAAAAACAACACACACACACATAAAAGTAAAAAAAAAAGAAATTCGAAATAAAAGAGAAAGTTGATAAACAGATTATTAATTTATTTCACCCATGAGGGATATACGCAAATATGATTATATTAGTATAACCATTACTATTATTATTATTTGACCTCAGATGAGCCCCACCGTTCAGTACACAGTAGTGGAGAACAACATAGCCACAATCAGTAGTGGTACACGCACCCACACAGAACTGTTGATACTGCTGCTGCTGTCTGCATCACCCTTCTTGTTGTTTTCAGATTCAGGAGGAATTGTTGTTGTTGTTGATTCCTCATCATTATTGGGTGTATTGTGAATGGCAGAGTTATTTGTTGTGTTCGTTGAGTTAAATTCATTGTTTTGCCTGGAAAACCCCCCACACCACCACTCCCAGTTCCATCAGCTTCAGTAGATGCAGAAGGAGATGGTTGTGTGACCCGATCGTTATCTGCCAGTTCCCCGCGTACTC